TTCCTGCGTGAGGCCAGGGGCTGCCGGGGGTCCGAGAAGCTGCGGGGCCGGAGCTGGGCCTCTTGCTGCTTCTCTGCCTGGGCCTGTGGGAGGAAGAGGGGAGAGGCTCAGATCCTGCCTGGACCCCCCCCGCCCAGCCCCATCTCCTATATAGTCTCCTCCACGCTGGAGCGAACCCAGGCGTCCATGACCCCCTTCCCCATCTCCGTGCTGCAGGGATGGGGGCTTGGGGTGGGGGATACCAGCCGCCCCCCTGCACCCACCGTGGGCAGATCCTGCAGCCGGTGTCGCCCGTCCCCCGGCCCCACGTGCACCACGTGGCTGAAGTTGGTGGGGCTGGAGATGAGCCTGGCCCGGGCGTCAGGGTCCCGCATCATCTCTCTGTGGGAAGGGGACAGGGTTAGATGTCCAGGCAGGGTGTGCGGGAGGTTTCTGGGGTACCTGAAACCCTTTTGGGGGTCTCACCCCATTCACACCTGCTTCCAAGGAGAATCCGATGCATTAAGATCCAGCCTTGATCTCCTTTGGGGTCCCCTGAGGTCTTGGCCACAGCAAATTCACCCAATTATGTCTCCCTCTGGCACAAACCCAAATATCCATCCATCCATCCGTTTCTGCCCACCCCATCTGTTTCTACCTCTCCCTCCATCTGCATCCATCCACCCAGCTCTCGCTCTATCCACTCTTTCATCCTAGTATCCATCTGTCCGTTTCCATTTCTCCAGCCATGTTTCTATCCATCCCTCCATCTCTGTATCCATCCCACCTTCTCTTTATATATATGTATATATTTCTCCCCACCATCCATCCGTTTCTGCCCACCCCATCTGTTTCTACCTCTCCCTCCATCTGCATCCATCCACCCAGCTCTCGCTCTATCCACTCTTTCATCCTAGTATCCATCTGTCCGTTTCCATTTCTCCAGCCATGTTTCTATCCATCCCTCCATCTCTGTATCCATCCCACCTTCTCTTTATATATATGTATATATTTCCCCCCCCCCCTCGTATCCATTCCTAAACCTCCGGTATCCGTCTCCATTTGTCTCTCTCCATCTATCTCTCCTTATGCCTAAGCCCCCTGCGTCTGTCTGTCCGTGCACGTATCTATCCCCCCCTAAGCCCCCCTGTATCTATCTGCTTCTCTAGATCTAGATCCTGTGGGCCTGAGGGCTGAAGAGTGGGGTAGGACGGGGTATTCCAACCTCTCTTGGTTCCCTGGAGTCTCTGAGGTGCAAAGCGGTCCTGACCGGCTGGAGTTTGGTCCCCCCAGAAGACCCAACAGGGCCGAGTTTAGGGAACGCTGCCCTGACTCCAAGCTGCACCCCAGAAAAGAGCCTCTGCTGGGATGGTTACCGCAATGCACTTTACAGCTGCACCGCGGCAAATCAGGCCCTGCCTGCTTCTGGGGGGCAGGAAGCCCCGGGTCTCACTTGCGTTGCTGCTGCCGCTCTTCGTTGGAGATGCGGAAGGAGAAGCGGCGTTTGCTCGTCCTCACCAGCTGGCGCCGGCTGAGGTCTGTGATCTCGGGGATCTTGATCTCATCCTGGTCTGGGGAGTGGGAGAGGAGGTGGCCAGCTCCTACTAAGCCCCCTCCAGCCC